TTGTTTAACAATTAGGTTGTTAATTTGTTTATTATTGTGTTTAATTTTAATTTGTTTAAATTTATGTTAAAAGGGAGTTAAAGCGCGTTATGGACTTGGTTATTTAAATAGTTGGTTAATGTTAGTTAGATTATGATTATTATATTTGTAACCCTGTGTTCAGCTCTGGGAAGTGGGGGAGAGGGAGGGGGGGTTGGGGCGGGTATGGGGGTTTATATTGTAATTTTTATAAAACTTAATAAAATAAAATACAAATTAGGAATAATATCGATTATGTTCATTTTTCTTGAAACTATAAAGTGCAAATAGTTATGCAAATCATGTCTTGATCTTTTATCACATGGTAAAACAGATGGCATATGAAATAATATTAATGATGGTTATTCTTGTTGTTACTCTGACTTACTCTGCTTCTATCGTACTCCTTCCGGGAAGCAGCAAACAATTGAGCATTGGATATGGCAATACCACAGAAAGGAAGGTACATTTCCATTACCTAGCACACAGAAAAAGACAAGGCCATCAAATGTTTATTTTCTGAAATTATATGTGTATCCACAATCTCATTTTCACAAAAGATATATCAGAATAACAACTAGAGTCTGACATCAAACTTATTTACAGCTTTCTGCAGAGTGAAAATTAGAGTTCCTGGATTAAAGGATCCCCCCCCCAGACTCACTGCTACAAACCATGGAAGGAGAATCAGGCCCAGTTCTTTCTGTACCCAGTTTTGTAGACTGCAATTCAACTCTGCAGATGTTTTCTATAGGATGTTTCTTAATTATGCCAATGATTCACCAGGACAAGATTGCAATGGTAAGAATTTTCCTCCTAAAATGCACAATCGTAGGCTAGGCCTCCCAGATCTCAGGAAAAAGGGGGAAAAAAACCTCTGGCAAGAGAGCCAGTTTGTGTAATGTTTAAGGTCCTGGCCTAGAAACCAGGAGACAGTGAACTCTATCCCATCAGATTATTGTTGTAGGGGAAATAAGAGGAGGGAGAAATACAAGGTATGATTTCTTCCTTGGTTTATATATTGTAATAAAAAGGCAGGTTAAAACATTATGATAATAACAATAACCCCCAGTGAAGCACTACCTTGACGTGGTTGTGGGCCTTGCATGTTCTGAGGAAGATGAGAACTATGTCAGAGGTTCAACCATCATGGACAGGTCATATCAAAGGAGCCAGACAAAGAGTGTCTCTCCCATTAACAATATGGTGAGACATGGTATAGAAATTTATACCATGGGTCCACAAGAACCATGCTAGGTGTAGGAGTTCCTAGACATCTGGTGACAAGTGGGCTACAAGACTCATGAATGTTAGCTGAGCAACCAGGGCTAGCAGATGTAGGACTACTGGGAAAAAGTTGCTTACTCACCACAATTATACAATGACTGAAAACAAAAAAATTATGATTTGCTATTATAAATCAAGTCCAATGAGAAGCTGATATCTGGAAAGAATAAACCAGTTCTTGAAAGAACAACATTCAGATTCTGAAGTAACACAACAGATCTACATCAGTTTATTCCATGAAATAAAGTATTCACAGAAGTAGAACTGGAAGTACATCTACCCAGGACAAAGAAATTGAAGCTTTGCAAGAAGTAGCTTAGACAGTAGAGACAACTAAGGAGGAATCAGTAGTAGAGGAAGCCAGCATCACTAGTGAACTGTTCTCATTCCCAAACCAGGCACCTTGTCCTTTACCTTCTCAAAAAGAACAACGTTCTTGAAAAAAACCAGAGGATCTTAAATAGAGAATAACTGAGCTTCTAGAGCAGCACAAAATCAACAGAATATGGTTACCTGAATTGAATCTGGTTACAAAGAAACCAAACCCCAAATACAGTAGTATTAAAAGATGCCAATATTGTAATATCAATACAAGCATCAATTTACTGGAATAAACAAACCAAGGGATATAGAGCACTGCTGCAGTTATAACTGAAGATCTTGGGTGCAAAATCAACAAACAAGGAAAAAAGCCAAACAGTGAATCACCAAAATAGAAGATCAGGTTAGAAAATAAGATCAGCGTGCTAAGATTGGATGCGAGCAAGCTAGAACACATGGGGAGGGGAGGGGAGAAGCTGAAGAATAAGGAGATCAAAGATCACCTGATCAATAAATATCAATACATAAATTTAATATAAAATAAAATAAAATAAATCCTTCAGGCTGACAACATCAAGGACACTGAAGTCAAGAAAAAAGTACTGAATATATCATTAGAGTGAAGAAGATCTTAAAGTCCAATCTCAGTGCAGGAAATTCCATCAAGACAATTAAGATATATACAGCTAGCATAGTGGACTGGACTCAAACTGAACTAGCAGCTCTGGATAGGAAGACCAGAAAAACAATCACAATGAACCATGCCCTTCATCCATGCAGTGACGCTGACAGAGTCTATTTACCGAGAATAAGTGGGAATGCAATTTTGCAAGTACACCAGACAAATGAAGAAGAAAAAAGAGCATTGAAATAAAATCTGAAGGACAATGATGCACTGAAGCTAGTACACAGGAAGGCTTAGTGTATACCAAAGAGATCAAACTGGCCTATAAGAAAGACCAAATGAAGAATAGAAAAAAGACATGGCAAGGCAAAGTATTATATGGCTAGTATATTTTAAACAAAACCAATAGACAAAGAAAACAACAAGACCTGGCAATGGTTAAGAGCAGGAAACTTGAAGAAAGAGACAGAGGGGCTAATTCTGGCTGCAAAGTTTAAGGCTTAAAGCAAATGCATATAAAGCCAGGATAGAGAGGGCAGCAACAGAGAGCAAATGCTGTCTCTTCAGAGAAGCTGAAAAAACAGTGGAACGCCTAGTTAGCTGTTGCAAGAATATTGTACAGACTGATTACAAACAACAGCATGTCAAAGTACCAACAATGGAGCATTGGAATATTTGCAAGAAATATTACTTGCCTGCAAGCAAGAAATACCATCTGCCTACAAGCAAGAACTGGTAGAACCACGAAATAGACAAGCTAATAAAGAATTAAAAAAAACCAATGGGCTCTGGGAACTTTAGAATTCAGACAGAGAGCACCTGCCATATAACACTCCAGACTTAACAACAGTAGAGATTACCATTTCAGAGGACTACACAATCATATTGGCAGTGAAGAGAATTTTGAATAATGGAAAAAGGTATTCTTAGTTTTATAAAAGATTCACATACCATAAAATATATATTACATGCTGAAATATATTTCTAAGGCTTTGTACCTTTGTACCAGTGACAGCTAAGGCCTTATATATTGCTTGGGGCTATAATTATTGTGTCTTCTTTTTAATCTTTGGGGGATTTAGGAATATTTTTAAATTTAAAAAAAGGATTATTAAGTCTATCCTTAAATTTATCAGTAAACAATACAACAGTCAAAGAAAGTAATGCTTCCTTCTTACATGTTCCCTCCCTTTCAAATATTTGAAAGAGCAGCTGCCTTTCTTTTTTTTATACATTCAGTAATCTTCTTTTGTGCTATGTTTCCAACAAAACAAGAAAAGGGTTCGGAAGAATGCTAGCAAAAAGCTAATTTTCCTTCATAAATGTATTATTTCTATAACTAATTCATACTTGTCCAAACTTGCCCACTCCGTTATGTAATATCTTCCTAAAAAAAAACCAGTAATACACATCCACTGATCACCTAAATCCAGAATGCAGAGGCTGGAAATCAATTGCAATGTGGTTAGATATGAACATTCAGCCAAACTGCATTACTCTATGGCATCTACACTGTGTGTTATTGGCAATGTTCATAATCAAGATCTCTGATGAAATCAACACACAACAAATATATATGTCTCTAGGGAGAACCCTATTTTGATTCTCAAGCCACCAAGGCAACTGTTTAACCTGCACCTGTGAGTCTTAAACTCAAGTCCACTAGTCCTGTAGATAAAGAGCAACATATTAATCTTTTTATATCTATTTCAGCAGAAATCTTGATTCATATCATCTTAGCTAATGTATTATGCCAGCTTGTGTTCTTCATTCAAATTTCTAACTTAACTCAATCTCTCCTGCCTGAGATTTTAAGGTCCAGGTGTCATGGTTCCGACAGATGAAACTCTTCAAAGAACTTTGAGGCATTGTTTACCTTAAAGAATCCTTTATTCAAGTAGCATAATATTGGCACTACATAATCGAAGCCAAAAACTGAATTCCCCTGCTCTGGGCACATAGTATCAAAGCACAATTCCCTCCTCCAATTAACAGTCATAAATCACATTCCCCAATTAGCTTGAAGCGTGGGCTTCCTCTCCAGCCCTCCAGCCCACCAATTCTTTATCAGCTCTGGACTCAATAACCTTGATTCTCACGCTAAGTTTAGTGTTGTCATGTCTAACTGGACTCTCATTCACATCCCCCGCTCCCAGCACCATCTAACTCTAAAAGTGAAAGGGAAAAGATGGCTACATTTCCATCTGTTGTCAATGCAAAAACATCCGATGTTAGCAGCATTGACACCAGGAAGATATTCAGGAAAAACCCTTAATAGACTGTTGAAGGAATGCAGAGATCATAATCCCTACGGCAGAACCACCTGAAGGGTCATTTTGCAAGAATGCCAGGTTTGAATCAGTATGCTTAAGAAGTAATCTCAGTAATTCTTTGGGATGCCTTAGGTATAATAATCTACAAACAGTTTACAATATTGGTTTGCACATAGGTTTGCCTCAAGGCATTTTGAAATGTTGAAGCTGATCAACAAATACAAGATGCCTTTTTTAAATCTATGAATGAACTGATTGGAAGAACTATGTTTCTGTTACTGAGGATGGTGTGTTGAATCAGAGAACCAAGATCAGAGAGATTCTTATAATGGCATGCTAACCTCATTACACTAGTGATAGAAACTGAAGTGGAAATTTGGTTCCTGCATGTGAAATGTGTTGCCTCAAGGTCCATTGTTTTACTATCTAAACTGATGCATGGCTTTACTATTTAAACATTATCTGGCACAACTTTTATTCCCCGTGATTTTGAATCATAACCACTAAATTATTTTTAAAGTCTTTTTGAAACAAGTCTTGTAATGAATATTTTTTTCAAGGTCTATTTTTAAACCTGCTACTAATGCCACTGGAGTTTGAGAACATAAATCTTTCTTCGCTTCCTTTTATGTGCTTCTAAGTTATTGCTTCTCCAGGATTTGTATGTGGGCGTAGTTAATGTATGATAGGAAAGACTGAAACTTTCAATCACATAAGTACCGAACAAGGAAAAGAGCATATAGGATTTGGGGGGAAGGGGCATTCTTTTGCTTGTAATTGATCTGTAGAATATGAAGGCATAAGAGCTGCTCCCCCAGGAATGCACCATGTTTTTTGACTTCTAAAGCCCTGAATTATATACCTGCTGCAAATGCAGGCTGATTGTTTTCCTGATAAGACAAACTGTCCATTCCTAGCTTATCAAAGGAATTGATAAAATAACTAGTAGGATGGGAATGTTTCCTACCA